TGGAGTATATCTTTCCTTTTGTGGAGTATATCTCTCCTTTCTTTTGTGAAGTATATCTCTCCTTTAGTGGAGTATATCTCTCCTTTTGTGAAGTATATCTCTCCTTTTCTGGAGTATATCTTTCCTTTTGTGGAGTATATCTCTCCTTTTCTGAAGTATATCTCTCCTTTTGTGAAGTATGTTTCTCCTTTTGTGAAGTATATCTCCTTTTGTGAAGTATAGCTCTCCTTTTCTGGAGTATATCTCACCTTTTCTTGAGTTTATCTCTCCGTTTGTGAAGTATATCTCTCCTTTTGTGAAGTATATCTCACCTTTTGTGAAGTATCTGGAGTATATCTCTTCTTTTGTGGAGTATATCTCTCCTTTTCTGGAGTATATCTCTTCTGTTGTGGAGTGTATCTCTCCTTTTGTGGAGTATATCTCTCCTTTTGTGGAGTATATCTTTCCTTTTCTGGAGTATATCTCTCCTTTTGTGCAGTATATCACTCCTTTTGTGAAGTACATCTCTCCTTTTCTGGAGTATATCTCACCTTTTGTGGAGTTTATCTTTCCTTTTGTGAAGTATATCTTTCCTTTTATGAAGTATATCTCACCTTTTGTGAAGTATATCTCTCCTTTTGTGAAGTATATCTCTCCTTTTGTGAAGTATGTCTCTCCTTTTCTGGAGTATATCTCTCCTTTTGTGGAGTATATCTCTTCTTTTGTGTAGCATATCTCTACTTTTGTGGAGTATATCTCTCCTTTTGTGAAGTATATATCACCTTTTGTGAAGTATATCTCTCCTTTTCTGGAGTATATCTCTCCTTTTGTGGAGTATATCTCTCCTTTTCTCAAGTATATCTCTCCTTTTGAGGAGTATATCTCACCTTTTCTTGAGTACATCTCTCCTTTTCTGGAATATATCTCTTTTTTTGTGGAGTATATCTCTCCTTTTCTGGAGTATATCTCTTCTTTTTTTGAGGTATATCTCACCTTTTGTGGAGTATATCTCCTTTTGTGGAGTATATCTCTCCTTTTGTGAGGTATATCTCACCTTTTGTGGAGTATATCTCTCCTTTTCTGGAGTATATCTCTCATTTTGTGCAGTATATCTCTCTTTTTCTGGAGAATATCTCTCCTTTTATGAAGTATATCTCACCTTTTGTGGAGTATACATCTCCTTTTGTGGAGTATATCTCACCTTTTGTGGAGTATATCTTGTGGAGTATATCTCTCCTTTTGTGGAGTATATCTCCTTTTATGGAGTATATCTCTCCTTTTGTGAAGTATATCTCTCCTTTTGTGGAGTATATCTTTCCTTTTGTGGAGTACATCTCTCCTTTTCTGGAGTATATCTCTCCTTTTGTGGAGTATATCTCTCCTTTTGTGCAGTATATCCCTCCTTTTGTGGAGTATATCTCTCCTTTTTTTTGAGTATATCTCACCTTTTGTGGAGTATATCTCTCCTTTTGTGGAATATATCTCTCCTTTTGTGGAGTATATCTCTCCTTTTGTGGAGTATATCTCTCCTTTTGTGGAGTGTATCTTTCCTTTTGTGGAGTATATCTCTCCTTTTTTGGGAGTGTATCTCTCCTTTTGTGGAGTATATCTCTCCTTTTGTGGAGTATTTCTCTCCTTTTGTGGAGTATATCTCCGCTTTATGGAGTAAATCTTTCTTTTTGTGGAGTATATCTCTCCTTTTGTGGAGTACCACTTTTTGTACGTTAAAGTTTTATTAAAAGATCTGACTCATCGGTCAGTCTCATAAAGTCCCATGACCCAACCGTCCTGAATAAACATAAAACATTTAACGCTAAAAATCAATCTTCTATCACTGTTTAATTAATATTAATAAAACTACATGTACGTATATTTCAAACCACTCATAAATTACAAATTACACAAATTGTCCCGTGTTAGAATTAATTACATGTAGGTGTACAAAATATTAAAAAGTTTTAGGAAAACAATTACTACATTCAGTTAGTTTATGACCATTATGATGAATACTATTTTTTTCAGGATAATTTCCCCGACAAATCCTGCAAACCATGGAACCCCTGTGATGTACCTATTTTAATCTGTTTTATGAAATATTGTATTTATATGAAAGAATATAATAAAAAGATATTAAACATTGGGCTTTTTCAAAAGTTTGCATCTCCTTGCCGGCCTCTTCCTATTTTCATTAGAATCGGAGTTTCTTCAGACACTTGTCAAAAACCAGAAGATTAAAGAAGCCAGGTCATTTAATTTCACATTCAGATATATTGATGATGTTCTTTCCATTAACAATCCAAACTTTTATGATTGGGTTCCATTAATATATTCCCCAGAACTAGAAATTAAAGGAACAACAGACACGGCTTCCTCCGCCTCATTTTTAGACCTTTACCTCGAATTTGACAAACATGGTCATCTCAGTATCAGAATCTATGACAAACGAGACGATTTTAATTTCGAAATTATCAATTTCCCCCACCTTAGTAGCAATATACTAACTTCACCTGCATATGGGGTATACATTTCCCAACTTATTCGGTATTCAAGAGCATGCAGCAACTACTCAGACTTTGTAAAACGTCATCAGTGTCTGAGCAGAAAGTTGATGAATCAGGGTTATGTCAAAGAACGTTTCGTCCTTTTTTTAAAAAAAGGTTCATCGGAAGGTACCAAGACCTTGTTGATAAATATTGGGTATCAACTTCACAAATAATACACGATGGTCTTGAAGTATAGATTCCTGGTACTGACGTTGTTTATCATTTTAAAAACGCGTTACAGTATTCTTTTATTTGTCTTTTTGAATTTTACTTTTACTGTTTTGGTGGTATCCATTTGACGTGGCTCTATATATACTTATGCATCACGTTATTGTGTTGTATCCATTTGACGTGGCTCTGTACTTATGCATCCCATTATTGTGTTATTGTTTTATGATATTTTTGTATTCTTGTCTTTTAATTTTGCTAATATGCTTTGTCTATATGCCTTTTTGTGATTCTTTGTTACATATGACGTGGCTCTGTACTTATACATCCCGTTAATGTGTTATTGTTCTATGATTATTTCTGTTTTCTTGTCTTTCAATTTTGCTAACATGCTTTGTCTATATGCCTTTTTTGTGATTCTTTGTTACATTTGACGTGGCTCTGTACTTATGCATCTAGTTATTGTGTAATTGTTCTATTATGATTCTGTTTTCGTGTCTTTCATTTTTGCTAATATGCTTGTCTATATGCTTTTTTATACCCATGCTTTAAAAAATTGGGGGTATGCTGTTTTACCTCTGTCTGTCCGTCCGTCAGTCCATCCATCCATCCGTCCGTCCGTCCGTCCGTCCGTCCGTCCATTCTCCCCATGAATATTTTTCGTCGCATCTTATTCCGGAACTACATCATAAGAATATCTGAAATTTGGTTTAAGGGTTAAGATAAGTCAGCTATACCGTGTGATGCATTTTCAGATTCATCAGTCTTTAGTTTTCTATGTTGTTTCCTGTGTACTATTATTTGTCTGTTTGTCTTTTTCTTTTTTAGCCATAGCTTTGTCAGTTTATTTTCGATCTATGAGTTTGATTGTCCCTCTGGTGTCTTTCGCCCCTCTTTTACACATGATAGCCAAGTTGAAAATGTTCGTTGCATTTTTCTCAGGAACAACAATACAAGGATTTCTGAAATTTGGTTTTAGGGTTTATATAAGTCAGCTATACCGAGTGATGCGTTTTCAGATTTAACACTCAACAACTTCCTGTTTACAAAATACTTGTATCATTTCACACATGATAGCCAGTTAAAAAATTTTGTCGCATCTTTCTCAGGAACTACAATACAAGGATTTCTGAAATTTGGTTTCAGGGTTTATATAAGTCAGCTATACCGAGTGATGCGTTTTCAGATTTAACACTCAACAACTTCCTGTTTACAAAATACTTGTATCATTTCACACATGATAGCCAGTTAAAAAATTTCGTCGCATCTTTCTCAGGAACTACAATACAAGGATTTCTGAAATTAGGTTTCAGGGTTTATATAAGTCAGCTATACCGAGTGATGCGTTTTCAGATTTAACACTCAACAACTTCCTGTTTACAAAATACTTGTATCATTTCACACATGATAGCCAGTTAAAAAATTTCGTCGCATCTTTCTCAGGAACTACAATACAAGGATTTCTGAAAATTGGTTTCAGGGTTTATATAAGTCAGCTATACCGAGTGATGCGTTTTCAGATTTAACACTCAACAACTTCCTGTTTACAAAATACTTGTATCATTTCACACATGATAGCCAGTTAAAAAATTTCGTCGCATCTTTCTCAGGAACTACAATACAAGGATTTCTGAAAATTTGTTTCAGGGTTTGTATATGTCAGCTACACTGTGTGATGCGTTTTCAGATCCTTGTAAAAGGATTAAAGATGTACTCATCCTAATTATGGGGCACCGTATTGTAATTTTCTACTGTATGTGCGTGAGGGGGGGTGGGAACAGTTTAAAAAGGGGAAAATTGTTCAAGCTCCGTCCATTGTGCGGGTAAACATCCAGGACGAAGAACTACTCAAATATAATAAACAAGGTTAATTCTGCAAGGTGGGACGGGAGGCAATCACGGGGCGGGGAAATTTAACTTCCACTGGAAAACATTGCTACGTTGGATAGGGAGGGCTAAAGATGTGATGTTATATCAGGATGTAAATAAGGCTTACAATCGATGAATAGTGTGTGTGGGGGGGGGGGGGGGGGTAACTGTTTTCATATGATTTTGCCGTGTATAGAAAACATAAAACAATTATTTTTTTCCCCTAATTACAACGATTGTAAGCTTTATTTTACTTCTGTTAGTGTGCCCCAATATCTAACGAGGATCAGAAGATCTCATCACATATAATTTTTCGAAAAATTATATACAATGGAGTACGCATTAAATAGGAAAATATTCTAATGTGTTTATGTATTTTTTTCCGGAAATTTTACACATCTCCGTTGTCGATATTTTATTTATGATCAATATTACGATAAGGAAGTAAGAAGGAAGCGTTTTCAATACTTAACCTGCGAAAGTTGACCACATAAGTTAACTGGTAAGTTTTATTTTTTCTTTCAAATGCACGTGTATTGAATTATACATGAAAATACTGAATTGAAGTCACCTGTAATAGTTTTTAAAATAGTTATAAAAATTTCCTTCTGATATACGGCTTTCATAACAAAAACCCAAACAATCAGCTTGGTTGACAAAATAAACAGAAAACAAGAAGGTGTGCTATTGACAAAGGTACCAGAAGGGACGGATCCAGGTATCCATGATTCCCTAGCTAAAAATCTTAAGTTAGTTAACTGAATTTATTTAGCGAACAATTATAGTGAACAATTAGCTACAGTTACGAGGTATAATAACTAAAAAATAATTAAGAAATACAGAAAGCTAGCCAACAATTATGAGAATACATACGATCTTAAACAAAAACGAAAAAAATCGCTTAAAACGAATGAGATATCATACTTGAGAAAGAATACAAAACTTTCCTTTCTGTAGTTTAATAAATCGATAAATTTGCAATTCAGTAGACAGCTCAACTACAATGATCATATGGCAACACATCTGCTTACCCTTCCGGAGCACCTGAGATCACTTCCAGTTTTTGGTGGGGTTCGTGTTGCTTAGTCTTTAGTTTTCTAGGTTGTGTCATCTGTACTATTGTTTGTCTGTTTGTCTTTTTATTTTTGGCCATGGCGTTGTCAGTTTGTTTTCGATCTATGAGTTTGACTGTCCCTCTGGTATCTTTCGTCCCTCTTTTACACACTGCGATTTTGTGAGGGGTGGGGACACTTTTTGTTGATTTTGGACCAGTTTATGGAGATTGTGACGATCCACGACTATATCAAAATGAGGATATGTACAGATAGTGTAGAAGAGACAATGGGGCATCGTTTAGGAAATTTTAAACTCCAAAAGATTTATGTTCGGAAATCTAAAGTTAGGGTAAAAAACTGAAATTGACCAAGTGAGATTATGAGCTTGGAAGTTAATTGTGGACAAATTTATAGAGATTGTGACACAGGCACTTGTCTTTGAGATTTTTTTCTTTAATAATAAAAAAGTACACAGGTATTTTTTTCAGAGACAAACTTGTCCAGTCTTCACAGGCCAAGCAGCCTAGGCTTGTAAAATTGCTCTCAGGCCTGTAAAAATCATATCTACAGGCCAACAGAATCTAACTAGAATTTTCAAAAAATTGAGCTCCGGACCTGTAGATTTTAAAGTTCATCGTGAAGACTGCAAGTGCTTGTGGATTGTGACGGTCAACAATTAATAGGTTTATAAGAGTAGACAATGGAGCATCGTTTAAGAAAAAATCCTGAATATATTAGTTCGAAAATCTGAAGTTATTGTAAAAAAACTGAAATTGACAAATTGGGATTTATGGGAAGGACATATTTGTGTTTTTTATCTTCAGTCATTTTCTGGTGTAAATGTCGTCTATATAATTTATTTTCTTGTATATCATAAAATTATTTTGTATTAGATGGCTGTCTGTGAAACACAAACAGGTGATTGGCGTGATGATAAAACTTTGGCAGAATGCATGAGGCACATGCTGAAGAACGAGATAATGTGTGACGTCACACTGAGGGTAGGGGAAAGACGATCACCAATCAAAGCACACAAATACATGTTAGCTAGCCGGAGTCCAGTATTCTACACTATGTTTGAGGGTTCTATGCCGGAGACAGGAGAGATAGATATTCCGGATATTGAGGAAAACACCTTTAACGTTATTTTAGTGTAAGTTTTATTTTTCAAACCCTTGACATGATGTTTACCACATTTTGGTATTCATTGTGAAGGTTCATCTTTACCCTTGGAGTAAAATGGGTTTGTTTACATCACAAAACGAACTCTGCGTACAGACAAACCTGTGCATCTGGAAAAATGTTCATGTCAACACGGCCATTTGAGCCATTTTAACCTAATGTAAATATAAACTTTAAATATTAAATGTAGCATTGTTTATTTTCCATCAACCGAAGCAATAAAAACTGGAAGCCATGAAATAGCCATTAGTATGTGCCTGTCCAAGTCAGGAACCTGTAATTCAGTGGTTGTCGTTTGTTGCTGTGTTACATATTTGTTTTTTGTTCACTATTTTGTACATAAATTAGGCCATTAGTTTTTCTCGTTTGAATTGTTTGTCATTTCGGGGCCTTTTATAGCTGACTATGCGGTATGGGCTATGCTTATTATATTGTTGAAGGCTGTACGGTGACCTATAGTTGTTAATTTCTGTGTCATTTGGTCTATTGTGGAGAGTTGTCTCTTTGGGAATCATACCACATATTCTTTTAATAATTAGTGCTTAACGTGGCGTTAAACACTAACAATCAATCATCAATCTTTTGATATTGATTAAAACTTTTTTTTTTGTAATTTTTTACTCCAGTTTCATATACTGTCAATTCAGAAATTATTGCATGCATTTATGTTTGCGATTTGTGAAGAAATTAACGAAAATGCGAGTTTAATTATTAAAGCTTCTAACATATATAATGTATATTTATATATCATAAATCACAACGCGAGTTATTATTGCGATACTCAAGGAGTTGTAATATTCGCATTAATAAAAACGTCGCATTAATATCTGAATGTACAGTAGTTAAGTGTTCTTCGTTTCCTTGTTTTAATGTCTGATAATTTATGTACCTTTTTATTGATCTAAATAAAAAGGGAAATATTTGTTATCTTAAAAAAGTAGTTTAACTGCTTCAACAAAGGAATTATGGAAAAATTGATTAAAATCGATGATTAAAAACCGAGACGATATGTATAGTGTCTCAACTCACTAGCGACATGTTTTCACAAACTTGGATACCAGAACAGTCATTTAATCTCTAAAATTACCGATTGTGTCCTGTATCCGGTTGTTACATTTTTACCTACAGTGGATAACCATGTTTCATGATGCATGCTTACATTGTGTAAAAGGAGACGAACCCGATATCGTTCCTTTTAGAGTTCATGCGATTCCTTCAGTTTTTGGTTTTTTTTTCTGTCTTGAGTTGTCTTCTCAATTGATTTGTGAGATTTGAACATTGTTATTGTTAATTTAAAAGCAGCCATGTGTGTACGTCTGCCCTTTAAGTGTTGATATTTGTGTATACATCATTCATCCGTCAGAGCCGCCAGCTTTACATTTAATATTATATTGGAACCTAACGAATATATGCGAAATTTTTGTTTAAGTTTTATGTAACTAGGTTTTGATTGAGTATTGTCACCAGCAAAGTATTACTTCCAACGGTCGAAAAAGGGTATAGTTAACCTCGCAGCCACTATTTTGAGAAATCAGTTGAAAAGGAAACTAAGCAGAAATACATCAAAATACAACAACACCACAGAATGGACGTGGCAGGGTACTTATACAGTTACTGACAGTTAGTTCAAAGCCAAAAACAACTAATAAAATAAAATCATGCATCTTTAAAGACTAAAATATCAATCAGTACACATCTACCGTCCAATGGATTTAGTGTACAGACGTCATTTACAGTCAGAGAAAACATGACATTATGAAATGCCAAGATACAGGTATCGGCAGATTGTAGAGCCATGAATGTGCATATGTATATAAAAATGATATTTAGTTTGATTTTAATTTACTGATAACAAAATCAATTTTAATACCAATAAAAACAATAGTACGGCTGCTAGGTACGTCACTTGTATTTTCAAACAGTGTTTTTGGAAGTGATCGATCTCGCGAGTCGAACTTAATTCACTCTCTAATTGTTATTTCAGGTACATATACACTGACAAAATAGAGGTGAGTAGTTCAAACTTGACTGAATTGTTGTATGCGTCTGACAAGTACATGTTAACAAAGTTAAAGCGAGAATGTGAAAAGACCTTAAAGAGGACAGCCACGTCACACCATGCAGCTAGGGCATTACAAACTGCATACAAGTATCATCTGCCTGATCTTCTACAAGAAAGTCTTCAACACATGAAATTGAATACAAAAGAATGTCTCCTCTCAGAACACGCGTTAAGCCTCCCGAAAGAATGTATAGATATGATTTTAAAATCAGATTATCTATACTGCACTGAAACTGATATATGTCAGTTTCTCCTAAAGTGGGTCAAGTATCAGTGTGATTTACAGAAGATTGAATTAACCGGCCAAAACATGCGAAATATTGTGGGACAGACTTTATTTAAGATACGGTTTCCAGTTGTGGACATGGATTTCTTTTCGAAAGAGGTAGCAAATACAGAACTTTTATTACGTGATGAGATAATAGCCATTTATCGTTCCCAGTATGGAATTAAAACTTCAATTTTTTCTAATAGCTTACGAAAAGTACCTATCGAAAAAAGACAGGTACATACTGTAAAGAGGTATACTAGATACTCACAGTTCCGTTGTAATAATGAAGGTACAGAAGCTTTAATCTTCCAAGCTGATACAGAGATCTGGCTTAAAGGAGTAACTCTGTTTTTTCCACCTGGCAGTTGTACTAGGGAAATAACTTTTAACATATTAGATGATATCACTGAGGAAATTTATGCTCATAAAGAACATGTATATGGTGATTACGGTGGTACAGAACGCCTTTTTATGTTTCCAAAACCTGTTCATGTTTTGGCCAGAAAAGAATACACCATAACTACACGAAATTATACGGATCATATGAGGTATGGTACAGGTTGTAATCATTCAATTAAAGTATCAGATTGTGCCGCTTCAATTACATTCAAGAATTCACCAATGTGTACAGGTTTATCAAATATAGACCAAGGACAATTTGCTGGTTTTATGTTTTGTGTATAGACAAGCATATTAGTTAATATTAATACAGGCGGAAATTATAAATCAATATAATTTTGAAAAGTTATGTTTGGGTTGTTTTATTCACTTGAAATCTTGATCTAATCTGTATTGAGACCGATGGTAACAGATGTCATCTATGCTGTGGTCAATGATCAAAACAGATTTACAGTGAACATTGTCATTAAATTTAAATAGCACTTTATACGTCTACATCTTTTTTGTAGTTTTGCCTTTATCATAAACGCTCAACCTAAAGCAAATTGAAAGCCAAAGATAATGAACAAAAGGACATGAATACAATAATATATAAGGTAAACTTTGCCTCAGTGATAAACTTTAATCAAGAACACTCAAACAAAAGCAAATTGAAAGCCAAAGATCGTCAGCTACTTTAAAATGTGATATGTGATTATGACCAACAGGACATGCGCATCCATCTAAAATCAAATGATTCGCCTTAGATTTTCAGACACCTGCATAATTTCGAAACTTATATTTTGACATTTTACATGGTCAACCTTTCCAAATCTGTAACATCTTGATGCGTCATCCATTGGAGCTGCATTAATTGATATTTTAGTCTTGGAAAACCTGGTCTACGTATAAGTTGTATTTTGTATAATTCAAAACTTCCAACACGATTCTTTTTTAAAATAAATATATGCAAATTATAATTATGATTAGCACTATCATAAATGAATGTAAAGGCCGAAAACATCTCTAAATACGTACAAGAAAAATCATATAATTATGTTAATTATATAAATTGACATTACACTTCAATAAAAGTTTCTTTCAAAAATGTTAAGGAGTAAATAAAAGGAGTAAATGTAACGTAAATTCACGCTTTTCTGCAAATCAAAGAAAGAATCCTTACTGTGATTTGTTAGTAAAACGTTTATCATTACCTTACATGTCCTCTATTCTCAACGGTTTAAATTTCTCTTCCTATGATTATTTGCTCGTTTTTTCCCGCCAGGAAAATGCGTGTATATTGGCCAGTGGACGTTAAGCAAACACACATTGATTAGTCAATGAGTTATATAATTATAATCAATTATATTATTCCTAAAAATCAATAGATATGCCTTATTTTCATCGACTTATGGAAAAGAAGTTACATGTATGAATTGTTTCAGTACACGACACTGAATCCAATTGATGTGTTCTGAAAAATATTTGAGTCTGTGGAAGATGATGTATTTATAAGTTGTAATTGGCTAAGCAATTCCTACCACAGTTCCTACATAGATAAACAGTTGTAATAAAACTCTTGGTATGTCATAAAAATTATCAAGTTATGACCCTTATACAGTATCCACTATCAACCATAAAGATAAAAATAAGTAGATGTGGTATGATTGCCAATTAGACAACTCTCCACAAGAGACCAAATGACGTAGAAATTAACAACAATAGGTCACCGTTTAGTCAGTTTTGAACTAAACATGACATTTTCAATTTCTAAAATATCCCTCAACATAAACGTGATACATTTAGGCAAGAGGAAAAATAATTCAGTAATTTTTTTCTTTTTTTTTAATAATTCTGGTGTTTTCACGTGAGTGACTTATTCTAAGTTACAACAATCATTTCAGAACTTGAGTGTGTTGCAATTTTCACTAACAGTCAGGCGATGGGACAAATTAAGTGTGTTGACCATTAAGTTCATCTATAGAGGATAATAGAAAAAGAATTCAATAACTAAAGTAATTCAAAGGTAAAAATTTCAAGACAATATCATTTAACGGGGTTCTTTGTGAACAAAGAAAATCGAAAAGAAGCATCGATAGTATAACCCATGTATTCTGAAAAGTTTTTTTCCGATTTCATTCCATAGAAGAAGGAAAGATAGAATGCTACAACATAATTGTTATCATTTTTTAATGCCTACGTACTGAAATGTACAACTGCCAATCAAATGCTCAAAATAGGTAAAAATGAGTATGCCTGAAGTACTCGCTCTCTATTTTTATTTTTTTTCAACTTATCACTTTTTCAATTACTAAAGTCAATTTTGCAATTGCATGTCGATTAAAACAAATATTATATTCTGAGCTTGAAACTTAAAAACAAACAAAAGACACAATATATAAACAAAACAGTAGATACACTTTTCGTTAAATTTAGTCAATGGGGTTATATTGTTTCATAAAAGATGAATGAATATATTCTTAAAGATTGATAATCAAAATTTGTGATGTGATTCATACTTATATTCCACATTTCAAAATGAACATGGCCGCCAGGAAATTTAAAACGTAATTTCATAACAGTTCCATGCTTATTTCTCATCATACTAGTTTTTTTCGTTTTCGTTTTTGTTATCCATTAGAACGATATTCTAAAGTACAATGTTTTATCTGGGGGTTAGTTTATTCACGCTCTTTTATTCACATTTGTTGCTGGTGGTAGATATTTAAAAGAGAGATCGGGAGAGTTAATATATCTTAAACTATCTATGCTTCAATTTGTCGTATTTGCATGTACAAGATAAGCACCAAAATACACATGTGCGCTTGATCTTCGATTCCCAATAAGTTTTTAATTTTCGAATATTTCGGCCTCGAGCTTCACAAATATTACAATTGTTGCCAAAATGCCCATCTGCTGCGGGCCAACTACCGTTAAAGTTATTTGAAAGTTTCTGTTTAATTTATTCACGACTTTTATTTCGATTTTTCAATGACTCGCAATTTGTAGAGCTTGTCAAATGGTAAAGGCACAAGTCTAATCGAAGTCCTTTGGTAACAAGTTGACTCTTGTTTACAATCTTATTATAGTCGTATATATCTCTCTTGATTACTTATTGATAAAATTGTATAGATAAATCTTTACTATGTTATATGTACTGAAACAACTTTTTTTTACAAAAATATGCATCATATACAATATTCTTTCGTTGTCAGTATTTATGATTAGATTTACATGAGGTCGTAAATCTGTCACTTATTGGAAAGGAATCATCAATCACAACTTGGAACCTGCATTCAACATTAACTGACGTTTTTCGTCTCTTTTTCAACCTGCATAAAATTTCTCTTCTCCGTTTTCGCCAAATCACAAATAACCCAATGGAATGGGCAAACAATCATATGCTCATGATACAAATGAGCAACTGGTCTCTTGTCATCCGACCTGTAAAACATAAGTTGATGAAAACATAGATGACGACAATTCAAACAAAAAACTTGAAAATATACATGTCTTACATTTCCTATATGATCAAAAGGGACCTAAAATGAAAATCCAAATGGTGGAAATCATATTAACAATTTAAAAGACAGTAGAACATAATTTTAAGCAGAATTTCGCTTTAGCTGGACCGTTTTTTCTCACATAGAAAAAAATAACAACAAAAATGTATTAAAATTGTGGAAGAATTAAAAATATATACACAGTACAAACTAAACAAGAAATCTTCAATTTCGTATATACAACCTCTCTCCCCATCAACAACAAAAACGTGATACATTCAGGCAAGGCAAAAAGAAAAGGAAAACAATATTTCAGTTATTCAGTTTTTGTGAAAATAATTCTGGTGTTACACGTGAATAACGTATTCCTATAAGTTACGATAAATTCTTCAGACCTTGAGTGTGTTAAAATTTATCCTATATATAATGTCATACAATATAGAACTACTATTTGATTCCATGAATACAGTTTTATATCATACCCCATCGATTCAGTGAATAAATGTATGAAAGCTTTTAAATGTAACAGTTTGATTGAAATCTAATATGACTAAGTTTATCGTGCTGCAAAGTATAGAAACGAAAGTTTGTTTACTGCTTTAAGCAATAATACTCACATTTGGCATATACATGTGTCCCTTTTTTTAGTAACAATCATGTTAGAGAAGCTATATTTTATAATAAACATTTATATTGCAGCATGACCGTTGTCAGAAGCTTGTTTATAGTACCTACAACAATCGTTATTTTATTTTATTTTTATGAAAAAGGTCATTTAGAAGAATCACTGAAAGGGGCATTGGCTGTCAAATACATGTTTACCGATTTGACTCAAATTCTCATATTTGATTAATAGCATACTAAAAAGTATATCCAATTTTAAAAAAGTTTAAAATATACAATTAACAAGGAATGGGCTCGACTATATGTATCATCGGTTCGTGTGTACTTTAGTCTAGACGCCATCTAAATAACTATCGAGTTGACCTCCGAAGACTGCCGGTCATATAAGCTATATAAACATAAATATAGATGTAAATGGATAGCGAATTCGTACAATTGGATATTTCTAGGTTAGTTTAATTTCATATTATAGGTTACAAATATATGTTCATCATCGTTTTTACCTGTATAAGAATGAGTTTTTGTGGATCGAATCCATCAATCAAATGATTTTCTGTTTTTCACTTTCAATGTTGACATTCTTTTCCTTTTGATAACTGAACACGCATAATTCATCTATAGCTAAGGGGTTAAATTGAAGGTCACATGAATATGGATTCAATGAGGTCGAATAATTCATCATCGATGTTTCTTAGCTTTTTTGACAAAATTTAACCATACTTGCTGCTATAAGCGAATTATTATTTCACTATTTCACTGTCATTAATGATTGAACAAAAAAAATCAAATTTCAATTTTTATATATCTCGTAGCTAGTGCCCCTTTAAACTAGGCATATCTGCGTTTTTGTATGGCATGACATTATTTCAAATCAACGATTACTAAAAAAACAAATTACGAAGTGTCGATTACAAAAATGTAATTTGAGTATTTTTGTTTCATTTAATCTATAATGATTGCATTTTATATTCATTTTCAGGGAATGTTTTGTAGACTGTTGATTGACGTTTCGTCAAATTTCGTTGACTTTTCATGCTATTGTTGACCTCTCTTCTGCTACTCTGTTTGGCATCTTCCGCTAAGTTTTTGTTTAAACAAGAATATATTTCAATTAATGTTTAAAAATCATATCATTCATCCAAATCGAAAAATAATTTAATTTTGTAGAGAGATATATAACACCTAACTTTCCACAGGTGATAACATCTATATTAACTGTATGGACTTATTAGTCATAGTTTCTGTTAATTTGCAATTAAGATGTGTTGAACGTTACATATCCATTATTTTAGGGCAAACGATGCAGTATATTCAAGTCTTTCCTCGAAATGTTGACACAAAGTCTATTATGATATGCAGGATTCATTCTTGATATAAAATAAATTTCGTATGAAAGCTACTGGGATTTTTAGACAGCATAATTTTGAAAGCAAAATATACAAAAC